CCAAACTGCGGCCCAAGGTCCAGATCCGGCCCTTTGCTTGTCTTTATCTGGTCCCTGGGACACTATTTCTCTCTCTGACATCAGTGAGGTATTATTCCTCCCACTGACACCAATAATAGAACATAAATTCTTCCTCTGACACCACTGATGGAGGACTATTCCTTCCACTGACACCAACTATGGGATCATTATTCCTCCCACTGATGCCAATGATGGGGCACTATTCCTCCCACTGATACCAATGATGGGGCACTATTCCTCCCACTGATACCAATGATGGGGCACTATTCCTCCCACTGATACCAATGATGGGGCACTATTCCTCCCACTGACACCAATGATGGGGCATTATTCCTCCCACTGACACCAATGATGGGGGCATTATTCCTCCCACTGATACCAATGATGGGGGCATTATTCCTCCCACTGACACCAATGATGGGGCATTATTCCTCCCACTGACACCAATGATGGGGCATTATTCCTCCCACTGACACCAATGATGGGGCATTATTCCTCCCACTGATACCAATGATGGGGGAATTATTCCTTCCACTTATGCCAATGATGGGGGCATTATTCCTCCCACTGATACCAATGATTGGACATTATTCCTCCCACTGATACCAATGATGGGGCACTATTCCTTCCACTTACACCAACTATGGTGTATTTATTCCTCCCACTGATACCAATGATGGGGGCATTATTCCTCCCACTGATACCAATGATGGGGGCATTATTCCTCCCACTGATACCAATGATGGAGCACTATTCCTCCCACTAATACCAATGATGGGGGCATTATTCCTCCCACTGATACCAATGATGGGGCACTATTCCTCCCACTGATGCAAATGATGGGGCACTATTCTCCCACTGATTCCAATGATGGGGCATTATTCCTCCCACTGATACCAATGATGGGGCACTATTCCTCCCACTGATACCAATGATGGGGGCATTATTCCTCCCACTGATACCAATGATGGGGGCATTATTCCTCCCACTGATACCAATGATGGGGTCATTATTCCTCCCACTGATACCAATGATGGGACACTATTCCCCCCACTGATACCAATGATGGGGCACTATTCCTCCCACTGATACCAATGATGGGGCACTATTCCTCCCACTGATACCAATGATAGGAGCATTATTCTTCCCACTGATACCAATGATGGGCATTATTCCTCCCACTGATACCAATGATGGGGCACTATTCCTCCCACTGATGGGGCACTATTCCTCCAATGATACCAATGATGGGTCATTATTCCTCCCACTGATACCAATGATGGGGGCACTATTCCCCCCACTGATACCAATGATGGGGCACTATTCCTCCCACTGATACCAATGATGGGGCACTATTCCTCCCACTGATACCAATGATAGGAGCATTATTCCTCCCACTGATACCAATGATGGGCATTATTCCTCCCACTGATACCAATGATGGGGCACTATTCCTCCCACTGATACCAATGATGGGGCACTATTCCTCCCACTAATACCAATGATGGGGCACTATTCCTCCCACTGATACCAATGATGGGGCACTATTCCTCCCACTGATGCCAATGATAGGGCATTATTCCTCCCACTGATACAATGATGGGCATTATTCCTCCCACTGATACCAATGATGGGGCACTATTCCTCCCACTGATACCAATGATGGGGCACTATTCCTCCCACTGATACCAATGATGGGGCACATTATTCATCCCACTGATACCAATGATGGGGCACTATTCCTCCCACTGATACCAATGATGGGGGCATTATTCCTCCCACTGATACCAATGATGGGGGCATTATTCCTCCCACTGATGCCAATGATAGGAGCATTATTCCTCCCACTGATACCAATGATGGGCATTATTCCTCCCACTGATACCAATGATGGGGCACTATTCCTCCCATTGATACCAATGATGGGGCACTATTCCTCCCACTGATACCAATGATGGGGCACTATTCCTCCCACTGATACCAATGATGGGGGCATTATTCCTCCCACTGATACCAAATGATGGGGGCATTATTCCTTCCACTGACCCCAGTTATGGGGGCAATATTCCTCCCGCTGATACCAATGATGGGGTCATTATTCCTCCCACTGATATCAATGATGGGGGCATTATTCTTCCCACTAATAATAATGAATGGGGACTATTTTGCTTCCTCCTAACCACAGGACTGCTATGTAATTTTTTTTTACTCCCACTTACCACCAAGCTTGAGGCATTATCTACTCACCACTGGTCACAGTCTGGCCTCCCTAAAGTCTGAAGGACAGTAAACTGTCCCTTTGTTTGGAAAGTGTGGATACCCCTGGGGTAAACCTGCTGTCAGCTTTCATGTGATGTACAGCAGCAGCACAATACAAAGACAGATTTGAGGCCATTACACTGTTGTAATGAAACGAGAACCGTTTTGATGGCTTTTAAAAGAATACATAAGTGGACTGATGGATGCATTGCTTAGTGATAGGGATAATATTAGGGGGATAGGGTGCTTAGTTTATGGTTAGGGTTGAATTTCCCAAAAGTTTAAATGTAAAGGATTAATTTAATTTAAGCTAAAGTCTGGGAAAACAACCTTTCATGTAAAAAAGATCAGCCAAATGATCAAATAGTGATGTGCCACTTGGCGTTTACTGAATAAATGCAGAGTATCTTGACAATGCAGATGGAATGGTGAAAGAGTATACAGTTAGCAATAACCAGAGAATAACAAACCATTGCAGTACTTGGGATGCTATGTGTAGTTCCCACACATCACCCACAGGTGGCAGTACAGGTCAAGATAATGGCCTTATATTGCAAAGTGTTTCAGGACAAAAGTGGGACACAGGAGGTAACACAAATTGATTTATTAGAAAAAATATATTTTTCACTGTACAACACAATGTAAAAAGAACACAAAAATATACACAAGTATTTTACAAAATCTTTGTAATCTCAAATCCAAATTTCCAGCACACAACTCAGTATAGCATTTCTGAACTTTTAGTGTATAGGGCCTACTTAAAGGGAATGTACAGTGTAATTGTAAAGCTTTTCTTTCTTTAATTATGTGTAGGTCTAAAATATACATACTTAATTTTATAAGTCCAGTAAATAAAAATTATTGTTTGCAAACATTTTATATTTTCCTATGTTGAGCCAGCAGGTGGAGCTTTCCACATGTTTTCTGGCCTAATCCTAACTTATGCTTAAAGCCCACACTGTCTACAGAGCTCAGTAGCTCAAGCTCTTTTTTTCACAGTTAAATTAGTCAGAGCAGTTACTGATCCTTCCTACCTGTCTCCCTGTTCTGTATATCTTCCACCAGATTTTCAGTGAGAGAGTGGCAGTTTGAAAGCAAGCAGCTCCTGCTGTGATCCCTGTTTGGTAAGCCCATCATGCTCTGTGACCCCTGCATCATGGCAGACCCCTATATTACATGTTTGTTTGGAAAATAAAATGTTCTTATGTATTTACAGAAAAAACATTTTTTTTTCTTTTTTTTTAATTTTGGATAGAGTAGGGATGAATTAGAACCCCTGTTCAGTTTCAATAGCCAGCTGAAGTTAGATTCACGTTTGCTATTTTTCCTGGTGACCATTGGGATGGAAAATTTACCAATTGGATTTGAGGTGAAAGTAATTCTTCCATGTGTTTTGATAACAATTGTTGGGGTGATTTACTCTCACTTCTTGTTGCATCTCTGTTCTGGAAGTGTGAGGAAAACTGGATTATAACCCTTCCCCATTTTAAAATTAAAACACATTTAAGTGTTGTAATGGTTTCAAAACCTGGTCTCTGTGTATTGTTCATAAATATATGTGCACATGTGGGCAGCCATGATTTTTAGCCTAGGAGATGTTACCCCTTCCCACCACCTCCTGGTAGTCCTTTAGCTGGGTCTTAATGATGGGAGGACTTCTCAGTCATGTGATTATTGTGATTGGCTGTCACAGTGGTCACATGAGCCCATACCACTGGCTCCCAGTCATAATCATAAACCAGGAGCTGTCTGTGTCAGCTTGGTAACTGTGGTGGAAACATAGTCCCAGGCAGGGGCGGACTGACAATTCATGGTGCCCCCGGCAATAGGGGATCTTGGGGCCCCTGTGCCCTCACCCACCCTCAAACCACACCCAAAAAAGCCTATGAAGAGTACTAGGGGCATCTCATGGGGCCCCCTACTGACCCTGGGCCCTCGGGCAGTGCCCGAGTGCCCAAATGGTCAGTCCGCCCCTGGTCCCAGGACAGAAACCTTGGCCACCATGGCTACATATGTGCGGTCTAACTCCATGCCACTGCACATGTGCTTTACGAGGTCGGCAAGGGGTTAAGTAGGGAAGTTGAGTGATCGGTGCTTGGCTTCCCTTTGGAAAATTTCACCTTGCTTTCAATCTGTTTCACGGGAAGTAAGTTGAAATCTCCCAACTTCCTGTCTGTTTGAAGAAGTCTAAGCAATTCTCCTCCATGTGGAAACAAGCGAGTCCTAGCAATCTGAGAAATGTTTAGAACATGCCAGGATTGAAATGCTGTCTCTGCCCCTTTGAGGGAGATTTCTCCTCACTTCCTGTTTTTAAAATCCCACATAAAATTCTGAGCTGAAGCAGATGTTGGGGTTGATCTTAAAAACCTAATTTCTATTAAATAATCCATGTTGCTTGGGCTTTAAATGGAATGTACACTATTTTCATTAACATAACATTGACTTTTTACATTCACAATAAGACAGACACATCAAATTTAAAATATTCCATTTAAATTACCATATTTACAATTTAAAAAAAAAAGTCAAAAAACAGTCTGTGAATTTTTTTTGCCTACTTAAATTACTTTAAATATACGGCAAGTATAAAAATGTTATAATTACACTCTACTTTTTTCCTGCCACCCGCTGTATATTTATATCATCAGGGGCATTTCAAAGTTCACTGGCCATTTCATGGCCTGGAGATTTGAATTTTAAGAGTGGATCCCATCTCATCCTTATAATGGTCTTCGCAGGCCCGGGAACATTGCATTTTCTGTCTGAAGGAGGCTCGTATCTCGTGGGCAGTGGTAGTGACAGACGCATGTATTAATGAACATCACAGGTTTTTTCATGACTCTGTTTTTGGGACACTGGAACTCCACTTGGGCGGTCCTGGTGCTGTGTGGTGTACAACATCGGCCATCGCTGCAGCTGCCACAAAACTTGGGCGTGTAGCTCTGAACACTGATGCAGTTTTTGTATTCAAATCGCATAGGTTTTTCTGATCTTGTCACCTTTGTGCATTTTTTTCCTTCCTGTGAGAGAGCAAGAAAAAATATTTTGTTATGGAGGTGCACAATTTCCTTACACTCTAAGCTTTTTTATCTATGGATACATCCTGCATGGAGTTTGGATGTTTTCCCCATGCTAGCATTGAGTACTTCCGTTTCCTCCCATTTTCCAAACACATGATGGTAGGGTCACTGGCCCACTGGCCCCTATCTAAATGAGCCCTAGTATAGGAATACTACATGGCTATGCACATGTGTCATCACATTCTGCATGTTGGTCCCAAGTCCAAGCTATTGTGGAAGGTAGAGGAAAGACTTGGTGACCTAACTCGTAAAACATTTGGCAAGAAAATTCTATGGATAAAAGACTCTTAAGAGTAACAGATATGAGAACTGCCCCCAAAGAATCACCAAGAGAATCGTATTCAAGTGTATGTCAAGTCAAAAAATGTTTTTTTATGTTTTATGGTGGCCATACACATAATGATCCGATCAAAGGAATCAATATAATCAAATCTGTCAATTATTGAAAAGACACATACCACAGCCATGGAAAGTTCCATGGAACCTTAGGGTTCCTCCAGCGGTTACTAGGGGTTCCTTGAGCTGATTGACTTCTCATCTGATGGTGCCAGCATAGTGCTGGGTCAACGCCACTTGGCAGAGTCAACTAACCCAATGATCTTTTTGGCTGTTTTCGGTGGTGACCACCACTGATGGGAGCATTCTTGCCACTAACCACCAATATGAGGGACATTTTTCCCAATAATCACCAATGAATTAAATCTTGCAAGGGTTCCCCAAGACTTAAAAATAATTTCAAGAGTTCCTCTGTAATAAAAGGTTGAGAAAGGCTAACATACTGTGCCATCAATCGATTTAGAACAGTGGTTCTCAACCTTTCTAGCGCCGCGACCCCTTAATACAGTTCCTCATGTTGTGGTGACCCCCAACCATAAAATTATTTTCGTTGCTACTTCATAACTGTAATTTTGCAGTAGGAGGAATAGTGCCACGTCATTGGTGTCATTGGGAGGAATAGTGCCCCATCATTGGTATCAGTGGGAGGAATAGTGCCCCGTCATTGGTGTCAGTGGGAGGAATAGTGCCCCCTTCATTGGTGTCAGTGGGAGGAATAGTGCCCCCTTCATTGGTGTCAGTGGGAGGAATAGTGCCCCGTCATTGGTGTCAGTGGGAGGAATAGTGCCCCGTCATTGGTGTTAGTGGGAGGAATAGTGCCCCGTCATTGGTGTCAGTGGGAGGAATAGTGTCCCGTCATTGGTATCAGTGGGAGGAATAGTGCCCCATCATTGGTGTCAGTGGGAGGAATAGTGCCCCGTCATTGGTGTCAGTGGGAGGAATAGTGCCCCGTCATTGGTGTCAGTGGGAGGAATAGTGCCTCGTCATTGGTGTCAGTGGGAGGAATAGTGCCCCATCATTGGTATCAGTGGGAGGAATAGTGCCCCATCATTGGTGTCAGTGGAGGAATAGTGTCCCATCATTGGTGTCAGTGGGAGGAATAGTGCCCCATCATTGGTATCAGTGGGAGGAATAGTGCCTCATCATTGGTATCAGTGGGAGGAATAGTGCCCCATCATTGGTGTCAGTGGGGGGGAATAGTGCCCCATCATTGGTATCAGTGGGAGGAATAGTGTCCCATCATTGGTATCAGTGGGAGGAATAGTGCCCCGTCATTGGTGTCAGTGGGAGGAATAGTGCCCCATCATTGGTATCAGTGGGGGGAATAGTGTCCCCATCATTGGTGTCAGTGGGAGGAATAGTGCCCCGTCATTGGTGTCAGTGGGAGGAATAGTGCCTCGTCATTGGTATCAGTGTGAGGAATAGTGCCCCGTCATCGGTGTCAGTGGGAGGAATAGTGCCCCGTCATCGGTATCAGTGGGAGGAATAGTGCCCCCGTCATCGGTATCAGTGGGAGGAATAGTGCCCCATCATCGGTATCAGTGGGAGGAATAGTGCCCCATCATCGGTGTCAGTGGGAGGAATAGTGCCCCATCATCGGTGTCAGTGGGAGGAATAGTGCCCCATCATCAGGTGTCAGTGGGAGGAATAGTGCCCCATCATCAGTGTCAGTGGGAGGAATAGTGCCTCATCATCGGTATCAGTGGGAGGAATAGTGCCCCATCATTGCTGTCAGTGGGAGGAATAGTGCCCCATCATTGCTGTCAGTGGGAGGAATAGTGCCCCAGGTGGGAGGAATAGTGCCCCATCATTGGTGTCAGTGGGAGGAGGAATAGTGCCCCATCATTGGTGTCAGTGGGGGGAGGAATAGTGCCCCATCATAGGTGTCAGTGGGGGGAATAGTGCCCCATCATTGGTGTCAGTGGGGGGAAATAGTGCCCCATCATAGGTGTCAGTGGGGGGAATAGTGCCCCATCATAGGTGTCAGTGGGGGGAGGAATAGTGCCCCATCCTTGGTGTCAGTGGGGGGAGGAATAGTGCCCCATCCTTGGTGTCAGTGGGGGGAGGAATAGTGCCCATCCTTGGTGTCAGTGGGGGGAGGAATAGTGCCCCATCCTTGGTGTCAGTGGGGGGAGGAATAGTGCCCCATCCTTGGTGTCAGTGGGGGGAGGAATAGTGCCCCATCCTTGGTGTCAGTGGGGGGAGGAATAGTGCCCCATCCTTGGTGTCAGTGGGGGGAGGAATAGTGCCCCTCCTTGGTGCCAGTGGGGGGAGGAATTGTGCCCCATCGTTGGTGTCAGTGGGGGGGAGGAATCGTGCCCCATCGTTGGTGTCATTTGGGGGAGGAATAGTGCCCCATCGTTGGTGTCAGTGGCCCCATCAGGTGTCAGAAGGAATAGTGCCCCATCATTGGTGTCAGTGGGAGGAATAGTGTCCCATCGTTGGTGTCAGTGGGAGGAATAGTGCCCCATCATTGGTATTAGTGACACCAATGATGGGGCACTATTCCCACTGACACCAATGATACTTACCTTGCAGACCCCTGCTCCAGCCTGGGCTCGCTCGCTCCGATCCCTCCCTCTCCCATGGTACCGACACTTACCTGTCAGATGTCTTCCTTCTCCGGCCGCTCTCCTCCTCTTCACTCGCTCGATCTTCGCGGTGCCGCTCGGCTCCTCCTCTCCAAGCTCCACCTCCTTGCCGGTGATTGGCCGCCTGTGTGCCTCTCCTGAGCTACAGTGCCGGCGGCCAATCACAGGCGAGGATTGATCTCGAGGTGTGTCCAGATGACAGGGGCGGCATGTCATCCCGCCCACACCTGGAGACGGCGGTGGCGGCGGCGGCGGCGAGGAGCGGCGGCGGGAGCGGTGTCTCGGTTCCTAAGACCATCGGAAATATGTGTTTTTTTCCGATGGTCTTAGGCGACCCCTGTGGAAGCGTCGTTCGACCCCCAAAGGGGTCGCGACCCCCAGGTTGAGAACCGCTGATTTAGAAGAAAACCATGGATTGTATTCTGTAAAATTAGATTATGATCATTAGGTGTATGGTGCGCTGAATGATCTTTTTGATCTTCCCATCATATTTTTCACCTTGACAGTAAATCAAATTGACAGTAAATAAAATTGCTCTGTAGATGGCTACCATTAGATAGAATGGGGAAGAATTATAATCCATAGCTAGTTTTTAAATAAGAGATAATATGCAAAGGGGACATATACCAAAATAAAAACAGGTTGCCCCTTGGCTAGGGGACCCAGAGATGGGGATCCACATGTAAAAATCTCCTGAGAGCACCAGACCAAAGATCTAAGAGTTAAAAATCTTTTACTCATAGTGTCAGATCATAACAAGAATACAGAAACCATCCAATGTGTTTTGGGGGGGGGGGGGGGGGGGTTCAGATATTCTATAGGTCAGTTCAGGTGTAGATTCTGATCTTGGCCCTAATCCAGGAACATTGTATTGTTCACCCTTTAAAGTACAACTAAAGACACAACTTTCAGGGTTTTTTGCCATCTGTGTCCCATTGTGGAGATTTCTCTTCACCTCTTGTCCCATGGTCAACTCAGAAAGTGAGAGGAAAACCCTCCAAAATGAGAGAATCCCTGGTTGTTACCAAGATCATCGGAACTGGTGCACCAATTGGACGATTCCCCCCCCCGTATTACTGTTCTAGGAGCAAATCAAACTTTGGGATTTTCTTTTACTTTCACATTTAATGATAATGGTAAACATGACAAATAAAGAGGGTGAGTCTCTATAACGGCCACAGACATAAATAAAAACCTGGCAGGGGTTCTAAACCCTCTCCACTCTATCTAAAACTAAAGAAAATGTTTTACCTTTTATACTTTAAGTAATGAGCTTTGGCTACTCTGCCATTTTTGAGTTCTGCTACTGTAACTACATACCAAATCTGAGCCCTGAAGAAGGGGGAAATTTTTGACTTTGGATTTCAGATCTTTGGTTCGGCACTCTTAATACATTTTTACATCAGGATCCCAAATTCTGTGTCGCCTAGCCTTTAGTAGAGTAGGGGGGTGGCCATTTCCTGTCTGTTTCCTTGCTACAGATTTTTCCTCCCTTCCTGTCTATAAAACCATTGTCAAAAGCACAGGAAGTGAGGGGAAATCTCTCTCTCTCTGACAACAGATAGCCGCAAAACCTACTTGAAACCCTTCCCCCACCGAATCCAAAACTGGACGTATATTTTAATATAAATCTTAAAAGCTAAATGATGCTGTTGGCCATTACCTTTCCAAGAAGCCACTGTTTCTCCTCATCGCAGGGTCGCACCATACACAGGCGGATCTGCTTCTGCATTTCACATCGATTATTCCGATTGGACACCCGGTATGAGTGCCCGATGCCACATGTCTTGGAACACGCACTCCACTCTGTTGTCTGCGTAATGCAGTTGCCACCCATATCAGGCACAGCGACTCCTAAAGTGGCTTCAGGTCTGTAAGCTGTAAAATATAAAAATGGATATCGTTATATTAAAGTGGAGAGTCTGGCAAATATTCAAAAAATGACTTTTTATCTGTCGATGTACAACATTCATCAAGAACATTCTTATGAGTATTTTAACCTCTCAACACCACCTAAACACAACTATTTTTGTTCAGGGAGGGCCCCCAGCAATGTGACTGATCTGGCACCTCCAAGACCCAGAGTGATGAGCTGGTTGGACAGCTCCTAATCACTTGACCATGGTGACAGCCCTTCTGGGCCCTACTATGACTACAAACATCAAATAATGTACACATATGTGGTATCACTAGACATGATAGGAAAACTTATTTTAGGTTATGTGTTGGTGGTGGGTCATGGTAATGGCAAGAAATATAATGCCAACATTTAAAATAAATATATATATATATATATATATATTATTTATTTTTTTTTTAGGACCAGTTTACATTGAGAAAAAAAAAAAATCAGATGTCTTTTAATATTTACCATCATATGAAGACCCAATGGGGTTTATTTACTAAAGCTGGAGAGTCCAAAATCAGACTCCCTTCTGCATAGAAACCAATCAGCTTCTAACCTCAGCTTGTTCAATGAAGCTTTGGCAATGAAACCTGGAAGCTGATTGGTTTCTATGCAGAAGGGAGTCTGATTTTGGACTCTCCAGCTTTAGTAAATAAACCCCAATTTGTCCAAGGCGGGTAGGTAGACTATTGATGTAATTACTGTGATTGGCTGTCACAGTGATCACCTAATTATGAGCACATCTCCCTGGCTTGTAAATAGTGACTAGGAGCTTACAGACAGTCGCACTTCAATGTACACAGGTACTACAACAGCTGCACCTAAACAATCCTCAATGCATTTCGCCTCACCTACAAGACTTGGTCATAGAGATTGTCTGTATTTCCTGTGTTTTTGTTGCTTTCAATTAAGATTTTTAAAGATGACATCATTGGGGTGCGACAGTCTCCTTTTATGCAAGTAATCTGGACATGGAATCTCAGACAAGTGCATATACAAAGGTCATCAATGTAAAAGGTAAAGGTCATGAATATAAAATTAAATATACAAGTAAAATGTAATAATAAAAAATCACTCTTTTCTATTTATTATTTTCTACTTGTATGCTCATTTTTTATATATGATGACAATTTACTTTTATATTGATGACCTTCGTATCTGTACTTATTTTGTAGCCCTAATGAAAGGGGAGTGTGTTTAGCCATCGAAATGTGTTGGATTTTTCTGCTATGAATCAATTTTATCATTAAAAACCTTCGACGTTTGGATGTTTGTTTGGCGCACCTGGATTGTATATATGGGAGCTGCCAATGACAGCGTAGTTACTGTGTAGGGGCGCCAAGTGAGTGCAAATTGTACCAGCTGTACATATATGCCTGTGGCTGGCAACAACAGATTAAGATAAATAAATTCACCTAAATATAAATTGGTCACATGTGTTTCAATCAGATTATGCAGTGCATTGAGGTTGTCTTGTAAATTGGAGACATCCTGTAAGGTCGTTATTCCACTGCACAGCTTGGTGTCATCTGCAAACTCTGAAAGGGTACTCTTAGGCCCTATATCATGTATAAATATATTAAAAAGTAAGGGTCCCAACACTGAACCTTGGAGTACACCACCACCAACCCTAGACCATTATGAATCATTAACCACTACTCTCTGAATACGGTCTTTTAGCCAGTTTTCTATCCATTTACAAACTGATGTTAAGTTATATTTGTAAAAAATTGTTGAAATGTAAATATCTCACCAGCCATTGCAAAACCGCCGATCGCCACCTCTTCTTTGGAGTCACAGATCCACTTCTCGCAGCACTCACCGGGCACTTTCACTTTGATTGGGTTGGGGCACTCAGGACTGGGCAGCAACAGGTCATTGTTGCATCTGGGAACACAGCTGATTTGCCCGTCCTGGCATGTACAGTGATATTTACAGCTGGGCTGGAAGGTTTCACCACTGCGATACACCACATCATTGAACACACATTTGTCAGCTTCCAGAGCTGGAGAATGAAGAAAAATAAGAAATACAGTGACTTACTGGACCCAACAGTGTGTTATACTAAATCCATAAATCTACTGTAAAACACTATTACATGTACTCTAAAAAGTAAGTGGGTATTCCATATATACGTACAGATAGGGCCAGGACAAAGAAGGGGCAGCTGCTATGGGCTCAGCCCCACAACCCAAGGAGGGGGACTACTTGGGGAGCACCTCACTGCATGCCTGCCTAAGATCAGAGGTGGGCAACTAGTGACCGTGGCCTCCCTTCTACCACACAATGGATTTCTGTCAACTATAATAGTTGCTGCTTTCACACTGCTCTCCAACATGCCCACTCTTTCTGCTCCCCTTGCCCAACCACCTATGACCGACACAAAAAAAAAACACCATGCTTAAGAAACCCCTCAACCCACCCCCAAGCAAGTGACTGGCTCTCCCAATGCCAACTACGGTGTGGTGACCAGATGTCCTCAGTTTTTGGGGTTGTCCCCAGGAAAAAAAGACTCCCCAGATTAGCTCCCAGTTCTCCAATGGCATCCCCAGCCTGGGTGGATAACCTGGCAATATTTTGCTTTGGATGCACTCTTTTCTTTATTTATTTTTGACCTGTACACTCTGTGCATTTATTTAGTCCTGACCTCTGTAATCTTTGTATTACTTACTCCTGACCTCTGCACTCTATGCAATTTATCCTTTAAATCCCAGCCAGGACACTATCTACATGGACTCTACATGTTCCCCCTGTGCTTGTGTAGGTTGCTCTGGGTACTCCAGCTTTCTTCTACATTCCAAAGACACGCTGGTAGGTTAATTCACTCCTATCTAAATGGGCCCTAGTATGTGAAACAAGTACCCTAGATTGTAAGCTCCTTGTCAGCAGGGACTAATGTGAATGAATAGTATAGTGATGGCTATATAAATGCCTATAATAAATTCCATAAATGTATTATCTCAACAGTTACTGAATAGAGAGTAATGGCATTGAGCCACTGAGAGCTCCTTCTAGTACTTCCACAAATATCTATATTTAAAAGCAGTTAGGAAGAGAAAGGAGATAGCTGTTTGCTATGGGTTTACACTGTCCTTGTTCAGTAAGAGGTTTGCAGTTATATTGATTTTACAATGCTTGACTCACCCATGCAAATGCCAACATCGGCCCTGAGATCGGCACTAAAGTCACAAAATAATCCTTCTTGGCATGGGTACACTTCTGAGCAGCTCTCCCCATCTTGTCGAGCGCATACAGGACAGCAGGCACAGCCATCTAATGCAATTGGTACGTTGGGAGCACACCTGGGTGGGTCTTCTGGGCAGGGACCACATTCCGATGGACATCTCTGGGAAACCACCTGCAAGGCAAATAGTCACAACGTGAGCTTAAAGTATATTTTCTGCCCGTTTTTGGATTTTTTTTTAGATGGGGTATATCTTAAAACAGGTGCAGGCAATTCCCCACAACAGTCTTCATGGTTCTGTTGCACCAATATTGGCTAGAGGACTGAGGAACCTGGTGCTTTAAATTGGCCATGACTCCAGAAGCCAGTAGGCCACACTTTGATTGGCTGCCAGATGCTAATCTTTTTCATTAGAAGCACCTACCAGCTCCCCCTCATCTGTAGTTGGTGACAGTTTGCTAAAATTTTGGGGGTGATGATGGAGTGCATCCCAGATCAAGAAAGCAACTCATATATGTGGTTGGGCTTTAATGACCACCCCTGCCGTTACATGTATGCCTGGTGGGGGGGTCGTTAAACAAAGAAATAAGTGACCTTAGTAATTATACAAGAAAACATTTTCTAGGTTGGTCAGTGTACAAATTATTTACTGTACTGTATATCTAAATCCAAAAACATTTTTTTTTTAGTTTTGTGTAGAGTGTGGAAGTATGTAACCCCTTGCAGCTGCCTCCTGCCTGCCCTTTAAGAGGTTCTGAATGATGTAAGGTGGAATTCCCAATTATGTCACTGCTGTATTGACTGTCAGATGATCCCACCGGCTCCTGGCCATAAATGGTACCAGGAGCTGTCAGTGAGCGCACTCTCAGCACAGAACAGTGGTGCACCATGGACACATATGTGCAATACATGGGTGTTAAGGCCCATCTGCCTTGCTGCTGAACATATGGGTCAGGTGGTCGGCAAAAGGTTACATACCTGTCAGGTTTTTATTTCTGTCTGTGATTCCATTGGGCAGATTCCCCCGTTATATTAGTCCCAGCAACCGTTGTCACCAATAGAGAAAGTGATGCAAAATCCATATAGTTTAGAAGTACGACTTTAGGAAATTAAAAAAACTACCCCTGCAGTGAACCTTCCCCTGCACTGCAATGGATAAATGGTCCCTATTGTCTAGGGCAGCCTTTTTCAACCAGGGTGCCTTTATGTTTCTTCAGGGGTGCCTTGGCAAAATACCTAAAACTTGCCCAAAAATTGTATACAAGCCAGCAGGTGGTTCAAACCAGCCTTTTAGTTACACAAAGCCACAGGGTTTTCTTTGTGCACCATTACGGCCTTCTAGCCGCCAGCATCCTAACAGCTAATGACATCATCAGTTGATAAGGAGGAAGTCAGTCGTCTGCACAGCATCCTAGTTTGACCCTCCCCTGCCCCTCTCCATCAGTGCTGGGGTCACATTAGCTCAGTGATGGAGAAAAAACTGAGGGAGAAGAGAAACCTTGGAATACTAATCAATACTAGTGTGCAAAAGTGTATTTGATTTGGAAGAATAAATCACCTCTAACGTTGGGTGTCTTACATGTGTGGATATTGATGCATTATTTAAAACTATTAGAATAGTTTTTTACATTTTAGAATGGGAGCTTTGAGGCTGTCCATAAGTTTAAAGGGTGCCTTGAGATTGTCCATACTTTTAAAGGGTGCCTTGAGATTGTCCATACTTTTAAAGGGTGCCTTGACTAAATTCAGGATGAGAAACACTGGTCTAGGGTATCATTAAAAAGTAATTTTTACTTATCTTACCCTAAGCTCCCCAGCAGCCGGTGTTCTTCCCTTCCCCCTGAGTTATGAGCGGGCTCTTCGCATCCCCACTTACAATGAAGGTCTGCTGGTCCTGCACAGGGGTAGACTGACACCTCATGGGGCCCCCGGGCAATAGGGGATCATGGGGCCCCTGTGTCCTTGCCCAAACTCAAAAAAGCCTATGAAAAAGGTACCAGGGGCATCTCATGGGGCCCCCTACTGACCCCGGGCCCTCGGGCAGTACCTGAGTTTCCAAATGGTCAGTCCGCCCCTGGTCCTGTATTGTATGTGTTGACGTAAGAGTGCAACCGACAGACGGAGTGCTGAAGAGAAGCAGCTTTGGAGACCATTTGCATGGAAGGAGGAGTCTGCAGGAGTGAGGGATTAGATAGCTAAAAGTGCCTATTAATGGATACAAAAAAACAAGCATTTAATCTTTGCATTGCAGGGAGAGCCCCACGGGGTGCAGGGAGAGCCCCACTCCAAGGGTAGCTTATTTAATTTCCCCAGAGTTCTGCTTTAATGGCCTATAGAATGAGTTTCATGTAATTTATTAAAGCAGCTGTGGGCCAATATAGAGGTGTCGGAAGGTTGCATGTGTCCCAATCTGCTGTAACAGAGTAGACAGGTTGATATGTTTCCACTTAGTGTCTGCAATGAGATCACTCTCTTCCCTCTACAGGTAGTGACAGTGATCACATACGATTACGTTCACCTAAAAGAATTCAGATATACAGCCAGTTCCAACTTGTCTGACAATGAAGCTGATCTTTAAATTTAAAAATAGTTCGATTTCAACATTCCTTTAAAAAGTATTCTTTCATTCCATCGTACATACTTTAATGGCAGTTTTCTTTTTTGTCTATACAAATAGATTTGACCAAAAATCAACATGCATTTGCAGAAACCAGCAACAACTAATTGCAGGAGACTTCAAGAAAAGTGAAATTGGATTGGTTGCTGTGAGTGATTTCTCACACTGGCTGGTTGAGCCATTCATTGGCTTCTCATATGTCACAGGACATCACCTTATAATTTCATGACTGTATTTTATATGGCGGGCTGATGATGCCCCCTCTAGTGGAAAGTCCTACAAGTGCACCTATAACAGGTTCAATTAGCACTTGTACAGAACTGCTGGGAAGACAGGGTAAGCCACCTGCCAATTATAAAGCCTTGAGGCTGGATTTACACCTTTTGCGGTTTTTTGCCTGATGCATTGGTGCAAACACATAAAAACACATCTCAATGCCCTGTGTGGAGACACTCGTCACTGCATGTCATTATGCATGTTGATGCATCATGATGCACCTAAATGCATCATAATGCACATTGACATGCATCAGTGCATTATGATGCATGTTGACATTCAACACACAGTTCATTGCAATGTGCAAAACACACATTAATATGTGTCAAAGCGCGTTGACTTGTTTTAAAAAGAGAAGTATGGGATGGATTGTTTTTCCAAAAATTATACTTACTTAGGTGGATGCTGAATTGGTTCGACGATCATCAGCGACCATCTGTCCCTCGCCGGCTCTAAGCCCGGGTTCACACTGATGCAGTGCAGCACATTGCATGTGATTCACACAGGAACCACACCGCATTTCTGCGCAAATCACATGCGATTTCTGTGCGGGGCAATTTGGAGCCATACATTTTGTATGGCTCAGTTCATACCGTAAAAAAGTGCAGGACCCTTTTTTTTGTCCGCACCAGAATCAGATCACATGGCTATTCACACCCATGTGATCCAATTCTGTACTTCGCACCGCGTTTTGCGAACCAATTTCAGGGTGTTGTTAACTTAACATACACACCCGCAGCGGTTCGCATGAACGGGGTGCGATTATGATGCAGTGCGGAAAACACACAGAAACCGGTGCGAATTCCGCACCGCATCAGTGTGAACCCGGGCTTAGAGTGAGAACTCAACGATCACATGATTGCTGATCGCTGAGTTCTCACCGTCGCAGTGAGCAGTGACTATCAATCACCGCTGTCTGTTCTGCCAACCCGTTTTCACTGGAGCAATGGTCTGTGGCGGCGATGGAAGAGCGGCTTGCTGACTTGCTGAGAGGCTGTGCCGGTGCCGCTCCAGACTGGGGTGGATCCCGACTTCAAAATCAGGATCTTTCCCTGGCCTGGACTGGGTGAGTGACATGAGCTGACAGCGGGCTTCAGCCCGCTGTCAGCTGAAAACAGGTCACAGGAGTGCAGTACGAATTGCAATCCTGTGATCCACAGGAGAAGTACAGCCAAAAGAGCTTTGGCTGTACTTCTCTTTTTATGTTTTTTTTTATTGATTTCAATAGAAAAGGCATCAGATGGAAGAATGCATAGGTGTGAATCTAGACTAAGTGCGAGGCGGCTTATAGACTTGTTATAAAAGAGGAACAATAAAGCACAGCCACCGTGCAGTACAGCTAAGCAGAGAGCACAGCATGTGCATTAAGTAAGCAAATATGTTGGACCCAATATATATGTACTTACAAAGTATACACAGGTACACATATAGCGTTTAAAACACGAATATAAATTTCTAAGATTATTTATGTAAAGATACTCATATTAGCATTCTCAGTTAAGGAAATACAAAGGCATCCTGCCTTGCTGTATACAGCAAATCCTTTCTTCGGGGTGCAAAATTTTCTTACCCGGAGATCCTGCCAGTAATGGCACTTCCTGTCAGAGGCGTCCCTAGGGTTGGTGTCACCTGGTGCGGTAACACTTGGTGACACCCGCTCCGACGATCCCCGCAGAATGGATTGGATCTGCGGATTGAGCATAATGGATCGGACTCTATCCTGCGGGGATCGTCAGCTTGCTTTACAACTTACCTTTTCTTGGAGCGGGTCCGGGACAACTGCGCATGTTCCGGTTTCAGGCACAATCAATCGATGATAGCAGTAGTTCTATCATCGATTGATCGTGCCTGAAACCGGGACATGCGCAGTTGCTTCAGGGGACATATCTACATGGGTGACACATCTTGCTGATACACCAGTGTCACCCCGCAGGATCGTTTGCATGCAACCTATACAGGGTGACACCGGACCCACTCCAAGAAAAGGTAAGTTGTAAAGAAAGCTGACGATCCCCGCAGGCTTGCTTTACAACTTGCCATTTTGTGGAGTGGGTCCGGTGTCACCTAGTGC